AACACCTACCGCAATACTTGCCTCTAGGATTATTCACCGGCAAGGAACAGCTGTGAAGCAAATTTTGGTGCAGTGGTCACATACCCCCTGGAAGACGCCACATGGGAGGACCTGGAGGACTTTGGACAGCTGTACAACTTACCCAACCTTGAGGACAAGGTCGAATTCAATGAGGGGGGTAGTGATAGCTGGGCCGGGCTAGAATTGGCCCATGACAAGGTCCAGGAGAGTTTAAGCAGGTGGGCTGAAGACGAGGCCCAAGAAGAAGTAGGCCTAGGTAAAACGACTGAGGTCAAAGGTCGTTTCCAAAAGAGAGGCAGTGAACGGAAGCAAAGCAACGAGGGAGTTCCAGAAGAGAGAGTTGGGGATGAACGCAGAGCCAGAGCGCGTAGACCCCCGAGTTGGTTAGACGGCTTCGAGCTGGAGGATAGGCACTGAGGGAAGCGAGAATTGCGGGTTGCTGTGGGAATTTCTGTTATGGGATTAATTCTTCTTTTTCTTTTAATTTTCTGTTGCTGGGAATCTCCGTGGGATGAAACCGGAGATATAATAGGAAGAAGAACTGTAATAGTGGGGGGATCGTGAATAATAATTTTTTTCTTTTGAGGAGTTTCGCACTGACTCGAAGAGTGCCGTTTTTATCATTCATATCACTCATGGTGCTTATGCCATGTGTTATCGATTTAGCTTATCATCTGCTGTAATCTTTTATAGCTTTTGTATTATTTTAATTTGCTTTTGTTCCAATTCAATACAATTATGAATCAAGTACTTCCTGACTAGGCATTACTAGTTGCACACTTGCATCATACCAAATCAATGCGCAAATTCGTTATTTCAATTTATCAATTTACCTTTCATTCAATATATTCAGATGTGCCATTCCCTTGAAAAAAAAAAATGGATGTGCTATTAAAGACGTCTAATGCATTAAAATAATAATAATAAATCGTGTATCATGACAGTTATTCTCCTATAACACATTGTTTTATTTATTTATATTATGCTAATATGTAATCTCAAATAATAATCAATCTTAAATAATACCTCTTGTTTAATTTCTTCGCTTTGCTGAAAGACAATCAATGTCCTATTAAACCAACAAATACAATCTAACTAGCTCAGAGACTTTTTCCTTCCCTTAGTGTAATGTAATGAAAGCTTGTAAAATATGCTAATCAACGATGGATATCTATAACTAATTTCTATAAAATATACTAATGAATGATGGATACACCATTCGAGGAAATGACCTCAACAGATTAAGGGGTTGTTCTTTTGTATTTTTGAGTTAGGGTGATTTGAGTGATGATAATTTTGAGTTGAGTTTGAGTTATAACTTTAGATGTGCATATTTGAGTTATGATTTGAATTGAAAATCTTTTTGAGTTTGTGTTTGGGTGAGTCAAAACTTAAATTTGTATTTATATAGTATTTTAATAAAAACTCAATGATGATGAAAAATTTTAATATGATATATGGATGAGATTTTATTCGTCTTTTCGTTGTGAATGCATAAAAAAAATCATCTCATTCAAAATTTAAACAAAAAAATTATGATATTTTTAAGAATAGAAAAAATATTGTTCATTAACTTGAGTTTGAGTTTATAAACTCGAGTTGAATGAGAAACTTGAACTCGAGTTCAAACTCAAGTTTAAACTCAAGTTTTACAAAAAAATATAAATTTAAATAAAATTGTAATTCGAATTCAAATTTTTTTTTTGAGTTTTATTACAAAAGAACAACCTCTAAGATTTTGTATTATAACTGTAACAAGTAACAACAAATGCTTCCAAGTTTCCAATAACACGCCCACAATATTTTAAGAATGTCTTGGACTAAAACCAGAGGACATATTTGGCTAATTCAAATACTCACTTTTCATTTACTGGAAACTGAAGAGCTCAAAGTCTTCGTCATTCCCTTCTGTGGTTCAGCCGGCCACATGATCCCCATGGCCGACACTGCCGTATACTATTTGCTGACCACAGTGTCGATGCCATCAACAACACTGTCATATTCCAAAAATCCATTGCCCGATCCATTTTGTTAATTTTTATTTTATATCATTGCATTCCCAAAAGTTTAAACTATTGGGACATGAAATTTTATATTTCAACATTTTTCTACATTTTTTCTCACGCATGAGCTAACACGTGATGATAATTTAGAGAGTGTAACTATAAAACTAGCTTGATACTATGTTTTTTATCAGTTCATCACAAAACTTTAAATTATTATGTGGTGAATCAATAATAATTTTTATAATTTAGCACACGTTTTATTCTTTTCTTTAGTCGTGGCTGAGTTTGTAAGAGGAAAACTCGGCTCCGTACGTTGGGTTTGGGAGTTTGACCAGGTTTCCAAAATCCTTAACTCGTTGAACTAGCTTACGGTCTTGAGGCTTGTGGTCACTCGTTCGTTTGGCTTGTTTGGAAGAAGAATGATAAAGGATTTTTTCAAAGGTCTTGGAACTATTATCAGAATTTGCTTTAGCGGTTTAGAAGTTAATCTTTTAAGTGCATTATTACTTCTCTTTGCTAATACAAGGAAAGAATCTTTCCTTTCTGTAGTACCACATATCTTCCTATCATTTCTGGCTGTTGAATTTGTTGGTTAGTACTAGGGGTGTAAATCGGCCGGGTAGGGTAGGATTGAGCTGAAAAATTGAGCCTACCTGACTAGTGCGGATTGAGAAAATTTTAGGCCGCGACACTCTCTTAAGTCTACAAACCCGCAACCTTTCGGGTGACCTCGGGTAGGGTCGGGTTACTCGGGTTGGTGAAAACCAATTTTAATCTATGACTTCATCAATTTTACTCTAAGAGGCTCTTATATGCAAATAAATGATAAAATACTATTGTAGTAAATGAGCAATAAATGATATATGCAAATACTATTGTAGTAAATAATTACACAACAAAATTGCGGCATAATAAAATATAAAGACTAATAACTCATATCACAATATGCATAAAGCAAGAGTGATCTCAAGGACCACATGATCTTTTTTTAGTCAATTAATCTGTGCTTGTTACATAAGAAATCATTATCAAACAGAACATGTTTTTCCTTCAATAGGGGGTCTAAATGCAAGGCGAATAATTAAAACACTCACTTTGAAATCAAACACTTCTAATATAAATAAAGAATGTCCTAATTCAACAACTATGGCATACAAGCAGTTTTTACACAAATCGTGAATCCAAAACATAAATAAGTTAACAGTTTAAAAGCATAAAGTCCATAAACTTATGAAAGTAAGAATTTGAAGTTTTGAACATTATTTTACCTACTTTGAACATGTTCGGCCGGGTAGGGTTACCTCGGGTTCATGTAACCCCACCCCGCGCCCCTACCCGCGCAGTGCGGGTTAGGTATAATTCAAACTGAAAATTAAATAAAAAATTAGAAACCCGTAATTTTCGGATAGGATCGGCTCGGCTCGGCCGGGTTCGTCGGGTTCGGGGTAATTTCTTACAGCCCTAGTTAGTACTATTTAATAATCTATGTTTATTAGGAGTTGCTCCTTGTCAGTGGACAAGTGTTGCGAAAGCAAGATTAATAATTCGTGTCCTGGATATTTGAGTGGCTCGTTTGTTTATAAATTTGAACCAATCACACAGAATTTTCTATTACAAAAATTTAAAACCTTAGACATAGTTCATTTTTACTATTTTGAATCATAATTCATGTTTTTATTACAGTATTTTCTATCATAAAAATTTAAATTCAACTTTTTCTGTTACAATATCTCTCACATAAATTCACTTTTTAACTCAAGTTCTCAACTTGAACTAAACGAACAACTTTCTTGTTCTTTGCACAACTCAAGTTACAACTCAAATACTATTGATTTAGGCCTCATTCATCTTACTGATTTGAGTTTTCAATTTTATGTTTCTACAGTTAAAAGCTCTCAAAAAATACCACATGTAATTGTTTCTGTTACAGTTACATGCTTTCAGAAAATATCGCATCTCAGCTCGAATTAAAAACTCGAATCCACGAAGTGAACGAGGCAATAGTATTTTCTCTTATAAAAATTTAAATTCAACTTTTTTATTACAATATTTTTCTCTTACATACACAACTCAAGTTCTTAATTTGAGTTGTGAAACAAACATACCTTAAATTTATGTTCAAAATTTTGTATCAAATCTATAAACTAAACGGGTCAGAAGAAACTAATGCAACGAAGCATGATGAAATTTAAGCAGGCTTTGTACCCCATCTTTCAATGCATGGTAGCTTGCTTAATTTCCATCATGCTTCATCACATAATTTATCTCGCTTTCAACTTTCCAGTACTTTCAGAGGAGAATATTCAATGAGTTAACTGAATGACTTGTTGTATTTATCATCCCTTTCATTTGCAATACATTTTATCACTCGCATATTTAAACTTGAAAAATTCTGATGAAAGTTATGTTCACTAGATGTTATGCGGTACTTTCCTTTTTTTTTCTTCTTTTGGTAGGAAATTTTATGCAGTACTCTCATATGTATGTACGTAATACATATTGTTTGTGTACCTAATATGCTTTTAAGGCAACATATATATGGTAGAAAAATGACAAATGTCGGTTGATATAGGCAAGTCATGTATCAAAAATCTAAATTCAATACCCAAGTCTCTAGCAAATACTTTAATTAGGTCCAACCATATTTTTTTTTTCCTGAGGTCTTGGTAATTAGTTCAATAACCCATTGACAGACAAACAATTTCTGAGTTATTGTCCAATTGCTTTAGCTAGTGAGAATTTGAACTTACAAACAGTCAAAGGAAGCTGAACTAATTAAACTTTTTCCCACTATTCTTGCAAGTTGCAACCACAACCCATCGAACTCATGTAGATGTTACCGAAAGCCTAAGATCAATCCTTCTTCAGTTTCTTTCTATAAATAACCCAATAAGACATTCTGCCCTTCCCACAATAGATTCAAACTCTCATAAATATTTTCCCATACACAACATAAAATCTTGTCATCAAACCATGGCCTCTCCCAAGTGTTTCTTCATTCTATCAATGATCATCACCTTGGCATCGCTCTCGAGCAATGGAGTCTTAGCAGCTCGCCACCTTTTGGAGACACCGGCGGCTCCGCCTCCGGCATTGGCATTGCCCAAAATTCCATCACTACCTAATCCTCCAATGCCCTCAATTCCAACATTGCCTAAACCAAATGGTTTACCGCCTTTGCCTACCACTCAATTGCCTCCTATTCCAACCGCCCCAACTTTGCCAAAGCTCACAATTCCTCCATTGTCATCCAATCCTCTGCCCACACTTCCCACAAACCCAAGTCTGCCGAAGCCCAACTTGGCTCCATTACCAAGTTCTCAAATCCCAACCCTGCCAAGCCCAAAGGTAACACTTCCTCCATTAGCCACTCCTTTGCCCACTGCTATCCCAACAACAATGCCTTCAATTCCCACCATTCCAACTATTCCTTTCCTCTCTCCTCCACCATCTAATTAATTCAACCCCTTTGAGATACCATCGCTTTAGCTGGCTTGCTACCATCTATGAATACACATTTACATTATTATTGGTTGAATACACATTTACATTATTATTTGTTGTGTTTTATCCTCATTGTTTGAGGGTGTTTTCTTATATGTTTTTCATTTGTTGTTGTGTGACGTTATTGTTGTATTTTGTTATCGTATACTAGTGAATATGATTTATCTTTTGATTTATCGGACATATATATGTCGTCTCTTAATATCTGTTACGCAAAATGCAAATTTTGACCAAGATAATGTATAATTAAAGTTAACTTAAAACTGGAAATTTCAAAAGATACTTTTAGAAACTTCACTTGGTAGATGATAAATACTCTGTATATACGTTATAAATGTGCATAATACGAAGCTACAAGGTACACATTTATAAAATTAATTAGAATGATCTAAAAATACATTTTGCTAATTATTATAGTTTAATCTAATATTGCAAGTTTCTTACCAGATGAAAAAATTATCAATAACAAGATGATTGCTGGAAAGAGCTTCAAATCAAGAGTTTCAAGCTATATTGGACTTAATTTAGAAATTTATTACTCGAGAAATTTTAGAACTTGAAAAGTCAATTACATATGATAATATGATATGGTGAAATTCAAAAGGCGTCTTTGTTCATGACGCAGGGGAAAAAAAAAAAAAAAAACAGTAATAACGGATACAGCTAATTTTTTGAACACGTCTTCGCTTACAGAGTATGATTTAACGACGTAGAACTTGTACTTCTTCGGTGAAGCGGAGCTGTTGCCTTCGTTAATATAACATCAAAAAAGCGGTTTTTGTTAATGCCCCAGGGAAAAAAAAAAAAAAAAAACAGTAATAACGGATACAGCTAATTTTTTGAACACGTCTTCGCTTACAGAGTATGATTTAACGACGTAGAACTTGTACTTCTTCGGTGAAGCGGAGCTGTTGCCTTCGTTAATATAACATCATGAGACAAATATTTTCCTGCTTCTCAGAAAAAAGGAAGAGAAAACAAAAAATAAAATAAAATAAAATAAAATACAATACTTTCTTTGTTGTAGCACCTACTAACGGAACACATATTATCTTCAATTATCTGCAACTATTAATTCTCGACTTTAAGTAAACAATTATTGACATTGTAGAATTGCTCCGCAAACAAAGGCCAAGTCACCATCAGCCTCCCCGGCCGCACCGCATTCCATTACCGAGTTCCAACCGCAGTGGGTCACCATCGCTCCGGTCGCCGGGTGCCCCAAAATGAGCGTCTGTGGCGCCCAATCTCGCACTAGAAAACCCCTCTTGTTCTCTTTCATTCTTTGCTCAAAAACTTCATGAAATATTTCACTATATTCATCTTTTTCTCTCTTCCTTACCACCCAGATAAATGGATGACCAGAATTTTCAAGTGCATGAGAGATTTCCTTAAGTTGTGCAGAAGAAAATCTCGTTAGACTTCCTAAACTAACGTAGAGAACAGAGTTTTGTTCTTTGGAGTTAAGCCAGTTTAAGATCTCTCTCTCATGTACTTGATCTACATTAACAATTTTACCCCTGTTACATAGATTTTCATTCTCCGTGTTCAAGTTCAACCACAAAGAAACTGGCCCCACACTCCAAGCCTTCATTGTCGTGATTTTCTTAAAATGTGCCGCGTAAGCGGGCTCAAGCTCATCAAAGCTGTTCATGATCGCACCGTAAGTTTTCCCCTCGGATTCTCCCAAAGCCTCCAATAAAGAGCCGAGGTCCGTCCAATCCGGTACCTGCGACCTCAGCAGCTCTATTCTGTGCGGCAATCCAGACAGCAAAACGACGTCGTCCTCAGATCCCGGTTTCCTCTCAATGACGCTCCGGGACGCGCAGAAGGAAAAGTACCCACCGTCGTTGAAGAATATCCTCGGAATCCCGAGCTCCGCTGCCACGTCACGGATAGAATATGTCGGAGACGATGCAGTCGGGCCGCTCTTCGCGGAAAAGCCTCTCGACTGGTTCTTGAAGCTTCTCGATGGCGGCGGCGATCGCGGCCGAGGTCTCCGCCAAAGTGGCGGCGTTTAGGTTTTCGCCTCCGACCTCGGAGGAAGGGAATTGGAGAGTGTGGATTCTGATCTGGTGGCCGGAGCTGACGTCGTGGTCGATGGAGTTTTGGAAGATTGGCGAGTTGGCGGCGGTTGTGATGACGGTTACGCCTCCGTGCCGGGCGAAGAGCCTGGCCGCGTCCACCATGGGGATCATGTGGCCGGCTATGAAGTGAGGGAGGAAGAAAACTCTTAGTTTGTCAGTTTCTGATGATTCAGAAGCCATGAATGATTGAAAGAGAGAAACTGATAAGAGATTTTGGAAAGTATATCACTTAGTGGTATATTGATCTTGTGGTGTTTTGTTAACGTTTGTTTTGTTCAGAATGTGTGGTAGATAATTTTAAATCATCATTACGTACACAAAATTTAAAAAGAAAAAAAAAAAGTGAAATGGCGGATTTAGGAGCGAATAGACAAGTGTGGTCCTGACTCCTGTGGATACAACGTAAAACATAGTATACAAATAGCTCTTGGTCCATGCACAGCTATTATTAATAGAAAAGGACTCATGCAAGTAGTGTTGTTGATTTCTGGCAAAAAGCAGTGTTGTTGATTTCCAACTAGCTGTATGTACATTCTGAAAAATGGTATTTATTATCATCGAGATTATTTATAAAATAATAATTTCTCTTAAATTGAATCTTATTTATAGAACCAACTTTATGTAAATAACAAGATTTTGATATTAATCTTAATGGGATGAATAGAGGTGCTCGTTCATTTTGTTTATTTTGATATGGCTATCTACAGGAAGACTTGAATCCCATGCCTCTTTTTTCTTTCTCTCTCTTTATCCGTCCAATAAATTCTCGACACATCTCATATTTCCTTAAAATTTTTATTTATATAATTTTTTTCCCCTGTTTGCCCCGTTATCTCTCATTTGTCATCTAAAAATGAAATCACAGTTTTATTTTGTTATGCCCTTTCCATTATTTGTGTTTTCCTTAAAACTCGTCTTTTGCGCAAACATGAAGGATATGTCCACAATTGTGCTGAACAACCTTTTCTTTTGTTGCATAAACATGTTAAACTCTGGTCTCTAAAGCCAAAAGCAAAAGGACAACTGCATCAAAGACGACGAAAAAAAATAACGTATAGAGTATAAATTATGTTATGAAAAAATCAGAAATACCACTCAAAATATTTTTAAAAAAGTACTATTTATGCTACTTCATTAAAAAATAATAATTAATTATATATCATTTAATTAATAAAAAAAAATAAAAAGACACAATAATCTGCAAAACCATGACAAACCAATACTTTTCTCGTCTTTTAAACTTTGAAATCAAAACCCAGTTTTCCAGGTGAAGATTTTGTTATTACGAGGCTACCAAATCCGCGTAAGGCCTTGAAAAAGATAGCATTGGAGCTCAAAGGCAGTGCTCAACAGTGTCGACACCGAAGAAGACGATGAAGGGTGGGTGTTGGGGGAGGCATGAGGCAAGGTGAGGCACCACCGGAGGCAGACCCATCAGTCGGACTCCGCCCTTTCCTAATAAGACTTTGGAATCGCTCCACCGTTCCTCCTCCTCGGCGACACATGGGCCTCCACAAAACCCTCACCGCATTTGGATATCGGCAAGCAAAATACCACAGATCCCAACATTCTTCTACGACATCAAAAGCAATCGACAGAAGAAAAGGGATGTCGGTGCCGACGTTGACGCCGGAGAGTGGAACGGGAACCGAATATGGATGAGGAGGATAGAGAGCCATTGATGATGGTCTGAAGCCTGAAAGTCATTTTATGAAGACATTGAACGAAATACATCTAAACAAATAAAAAAAAAATAGAGGAAATTGTTAAACTATCTTTGGAGTGTATGAGATTTTTACTTAAAAAATAATTTTTGATAAAAATCTAGACTCATATATTTATAATGATAATCTATCTGATTCCCCTAAAAAATATCATGAGCCACTCATAAATAAAAAACATGATAAAATTTCACACCTTAAGCTCAAATTTAACAAAATTTTTAAGATGTTAAAAAAATAAAAATGACATAATAATTCTCAAAATAATGTCATATTTTTTGTTACTAGCTTTATTATTCATATATATTATCGTGTACAAGATACCTAAGCAGTATATTATTCATATATGAATTTAAGCATCTTGAGTCTATTTTAAAATTAACCTTTCATATTTTTCCTAAAAAAAAACTTTTGATTATAAACACTTGGCGGTAGAGTGATTTTAGTAAAAAGAAGAAAAGAATAAGTGAGGAACATTTAAAATAAATTATATTAATAGAAGCAAAGCCAGGAGAAAAGTATCTCAGAAGCATAATGTAGTAGCTAAACTATAGGTGATTTTTTAACAAAGACAAAAAGAATAAAAAGAATGATTTAGTGAAAAGAAGAAACGAATAAGTAAGGAACATTTAAAAAAAAAAACTTTTTGAATAGGAGCAAAGTGAGGAAAAAAAATCTCAGATAAGTACTGTGTAGTAACTAAATTATAGGTTTTTTTTTTTTTCAAAAACAAAAAGAATAAGAAGAATGAAAAAAAAATAGAGAAAGAAAAAAATATATATATAGAATGAGAAGTACAACAACAAAAAAAAAAAGAAAATATAAAGGAAAAGATGTTGGAAAAAGAAAAGCAAAAAAAAAAAAACAATATAGTGGAAAGGATGGAGAAGGAAAAAAGAAAAAAGGAAGCAAGGGAAAATAGATTAAAAAAAAAAGAAAAAAAAAGGAATGAAAAAAAGATGAACTGGGCAACATGTGGAAGAGAGAAGGAAATTGGTTTTGAGTTTTATAACGTGCTCCGCACGTATTGTTGTGTTAGAGATATCCGAATAGATTATTGTTTACTAAATAATGAAAATTTTATTTATACAACTATTTAAAAATTTTAAATTTATTTTAAAAAGAAATATGCATAAAAATAATAATTGACAAAAAAAATAAATAGAGACACATTTTAAAAAAATTATTTTAACCAACTAAAAATAAAATAAAAATACAAGCAAAAAAATTACCTTTATAGGGGTAAAGTCAGAAACAATATATTTTTAAAAAAAATTCAAAATAAATAAAAATGAAAAATAAAGAAAAAGAGGTAAGTGATAAAAAAGAGCTTAGCTTTTTTATGTATTGTTATATGTGTGTGTATATATATATGTATCATAATAATAATAATATATATGTATATATGTATTGTTATTGTTATATGTATATATGTATATATATGTTTTATATATAATAATATAATTATTATTCTAATAATATCAAAAATTTTAATTATTATTATTGATTTCGTTCATTTTACCGATTCGAGTTTTCAGTTTTAGATTTCTACAGTAAAAAGTTCTCAGAAAATATCACATCTAACTTTTTTATTATAGTGAAAAGCTCTCAAAAAATGTCACATTTTAGCTCGAATTGAAAACTCAAATCCGCGAAGTGAACTAGACATGTGTAGCCACTATTTTAATTTTGCCAAAGAAAACAAAAGAGAACGAACGAGCTCATTCACTGGGCCCAATGTTCAATCATTTAGGCCAATCTTAAGGGTTAATGAGAATATTGCTTAGTTATGTTTGTGGAATTAAAATATGGCTGTAATTTGTGAATACTTTACATATGACTTAATGCATACGTATGATAATATTATTGACCTTGATAATGATACTGTTGGTTTGAATTTATTGTATAAATCAATTTAAAAATAATATATAAGAAATACAGTAGACATCTATCCCACAATATGTTGAACTATTAACCTTCTACAAATGAATCAAATACTTAAAATTATGGCATTTATTGTTCAATATCGAATACGTAAGTATTGAAAAAGCGCGATTTAAAATCTTCCCCTTCTCAGAGTCATTAAATACTAGGAACATAATTTTTTTTTACATACTAGCAAAATAATTAAGATAATAGCAAGATTATAATTAAATCTATATACAAAGACAAAAACCGGTTGATAAGTAAAAACAAACATATATCATTATAAAAAAATATAAGAAGAATAATTAGAATGCGAATACAAACATATGTACATTTTTGCATATTATAATCACAACGATAAATATTTATTTAAAAAAAACATAAGAATAATAATTAAAACACGGGCGATATACAAATTTAAAAACAAACATTAAAAAGAAAAATATGATAAAGTCTGTGTATATATACAATATGAAAAAATAGAGAATTTATTTTGAGAGTGTATGAGTCTGGATTTTTATCCTTTACTCTTGATAAATACTTTTTTATTAGTGTAATTATTTTACTAAAAAGGTTATGAATCAAGAATAAAAAATAAAAATCTTGACTCATGCACTTTCAAATGATATTTATCAAGATTATTTTTGAAAGTACATGGATCAAGATTTGAAAAATCTTAGGATTCATTTGTTTCATGTGTTTGAAACTATAATTCTGATCTGTTATAATATTTTTTTCTTACAAAAATTTTGAATAAAAAAATTCTCATCAATGAGTTCTCTCACAAAATTTAAATTCAAAATTAGAATCACATTAAACGGGGCAAACAATATAAAAAAAGAAGATTAGAAAAAATTATAAAATTTACCTTAAAAGTTTCTGAATTTATATATTTTATTATTAATTAATAATTTTTTATTAATTTAATTATTTAACTAAAAAGTTATTATGAATTTATACCTTTTATTATTAATTAATAATTTTTTTATTAATATAATTATTTAACTAAAAAGTTATTAATTAAAAATCCTCACCGTACTATTTTAAGGTATTTGTCTCCCTTCCCTCCGGCCATTAAACTCTCTTGGCCAAATCCTTCAGCTCCTCGTGGAGCCTGCAGCGTTCCCATAGGCAATGGCCATAGCCATAGCTCTTGTGTAGAAAAGCCACGAAGGCCGAAACCGAGTGAGAGAGAGAGTGACCAAACTATAGGGCTCTGATATCTTCCCCCAATTCCTCTCCGATGGACGACATGGCCGCGTACTACCCACCGCCTCCGCCTCTGCCGGCGGTGCCTCACTACCCTTACTACCAACCGCCGCCTCCGCCTCCCGCCGCGGCGGCGCCACCCGCAGCGCACCAACTGGCCCAGCCGTACGCCCCTCACCCGCAGCAACCTCCTTACGGCGCCTACACGCCGTCGCTCGTCGCTCCGTGCTCGCACGACGAGGTCCGAACGCTCTTCGTCGCGGGGCTTCCCGAGGACGTAAAGCCCCGCGAAATCTACAATCTTTTCCGTGAGTTCCCCGGCTACGAATCCTCGCATCTCCGGAGCCCTACCCAAGCATCGCAGGTATGAACTTCTCTAAACATTGTTAATTTTTTATTTCATTCAGCAATTGAAGTATTTTCTCGGGAATATTTTCGATAAATTGAATTTTTTATTTTGAATTTTCATTGTTGGCTTGAATTTTACATGTAATTTCGTTGATAATTGTGTATTGAATTTGATATGCGGTGTTCTTGTGGCAGCCATTCGCATTCGCTGTGTTTTTGGATCAGCAATATGCAATTGCGGCAATGCACGCGCTGAATGTAAGGCATCTTCTCCGTTGTTGGGTCCATGAGTGTTCTGAATGAAATATTGTTTTCAATATACAATTTGTGGAGCTTATATGTGGGTGCTTTAGTTTTTTTATCATTCAATTCAATAAGCACATTTGACTTGTGGGAAATACCTAGGATGTGGCTTTGATGGTATATTGAGTAATTATTCGTTGTCTGTAATTGGACGGTATCAGAATTGGCCTCCCCAAAAACTAATAGAGTGATAATAATGTCCTCATTGTTCTAGCCAACTTGCACAAAAATCTCTGTGCTTCCAGTTTTTCCCCTTTTGATTACTAAACGTAAAGACTTGGCAGTTGAGTCCGACATAAGTTAAAAACGGATACTGCTCAAGTACATTAGTTTCTCTTGTGAAGCTCCCATTTACTTGGTGACTAATTTTATTAGATCTCGACCGATATAGGTTGGTATTTACTTGGACTGGTCTCTGATTGTATGTGTTACTCCTTGTTGATGAGGTTGATGAACTTGTGAAAGAACTCTGTAGCTAAAGAATTAGCATTGTAAAGCAGTTAAGTGCATCTCCAATGTAATACTATAATTGATGTGTCAATTGCAAATTTAGCATTTGAGTGTAAAAAATACTCTCCAATGCAATGCTATTTGTTGTGCCAAATTTCTCATATGCTATACTTGGCAAATTTCCCATCAAGTATAGCATATGGGAAATTTGGCATTTAATTGCTATTGATTGAGTTGTTTACCTTAATCATTGCAACTTTTGTATTTTCTAATTGTTTTAAAAATAAAAGTTCGCTTTTACAACTTTCAAAGCTTAATGATTATGGAAAAAAAGTAGATTTAGCATTTCAAATAGCATTTGCATTGGAGCAAAAATTAAAATAACATACCATATTATACTTTTTGATGTTAAATATACAATCGGCATTAGCATTTGCATTGGAGATGGTCTAAGAATGTTAGGTATTGTAGCAATGACGAGGACCCTTGATTCTGAATGTTCTCTGCAGGGGATGGTGTTTGATCTTGAGAAAGGGTCCACACTATATATTGATCTAGCGAAAGCAAATTCTAGATCAAAGCGCCAAAGATCAGGTCTATAACTTGTTTGATTTTGTGGATATTTTATTGAAGTGTTAGTAAACCCTGTAGTTTTACTTGTTTGGAGCTGAATGTGAACCTTTGCCTATCATTTTACATAGATGATGGAAGATTTGGATTGGATAAGAGATCTAAAAGGTCTCCATTTTCTAGAGGGCCTAATGATTCTGGTAAGTGCAGAGTATATTTTGGAGGAGCACTTTACTTGCACCATTTTTTTTTTTTTTTCAGTTTACCATCCCTGGTGTGGTGGGAAGGTTTTGATTTCCTTGCCACTCTCTTTAAACTATCTCAGTTAATATGATTTGCTTGACGTTATCATGTAAAAACGAGATACCTGATTTTCGCTTAGAGTTAAACTCTGTTAGTCACTTGAGGACACGTTCTTCTTAAAGCTCACATTGCACATGTTTTGCACGCTTGGACACTAGCAGGTGTTGGCAGCACGCATATGCCTGGAATGGGTAATTCTGCTTACAACATTGGTTATCCATCTGCACCAAGGTCATCTGCACTACTTAAGCACAATTTTACCATGTGAAAGTTATATTTCTAGCTCAATAGTTTGCACATATGGTATTACTTAACTTCTTGCAGAAAGGTCCCGGGCCTAGTAAAGTTACTGAATGCCCTTTTCCCTGAAGTTGGCGTAAACTATAACTTATAATGGTCTTGTAAGTTACATACTTTATATCTCTTGGAACCACATCTATTAATTCTTTCCTTTTTCTTCTATTTGGTTTGCTATTCAGTCAGGGGAATTTGGAGAGTAGAGCAGTTAATGAGACCACGGCTCTACATTTGGTAGATCTTTTATCCCTTTTCTCTTCCATTACATCAAAACTGATGTTCCTTTATAAAATATTAATCTTTGTTTTCAATTTTGCAAGTAAAAATTCCACCTCTTCTTCTTCTTTTCTTTTTTTTTTTTTGGTGCATAACCAACTATTTAGGTTTTTGGTTGCCCTTAATGTCATCGTTGATTTTATATCTTTAGTTTCCTAATCTAGAATTGCTCTCTTAAGTTGTATTTTTGCTCCCTGATTAGGTAATTAATAACTATTTTCTCCTTCACTGACAGCATAATTCTTCAGCGCCGCATCTTCCGCAAAATAATACCCCATGCCCAACTCTTTTTGTGGCTAACTTAGGTCCTGCTTGTACAGAGCAGGAGCTAATTCAAGTGTTTTCAAGGTTAGTACCTTCTTTTTTTTTTTTTTTTTTGCCATATATTTAATCTGAAGGTGGGCCTTGGCACCGTGGTGGGAGCGCTTGCGTTTGCACCCGGGGTCCAAGGTTCGAATCCCGGAAACGGTCTCTCCTCCGGGAGGTAAGGCCGCGTACATATGGGATTGAGCTTTCCCCCGAGCCTGTCATAGTACGGGAGCCTCTTTAACACGTTAGTACCTTCTTTTTTTTTTTTTTTTTTGCCATATATTTAATCTGAAGGTGGGCCTTGGCACCGTGGTGGGAGCGCTTGCGTTTGCACCCGGGGTCCAAGGTTCGAATCCCGGAAACGGTCTCTCCTCCGGGAGGTAAGGCCGCGTACATATGGGATTGAGCTTTCCCCCGAGCCTGTCATAGTACGGGAGCCTCTTTAACACTGGGGTCCGCCTTTTATATATTTAATCTGAACTCTCAGAATATGATTTTATTTTTATTGGTTCCTAATAGATGCCCTGGGTTCATAAAATTGAAGATGCAAGGAACATATGGGTCTCCAGTTGCATTTGTTGATTTTCAGGTGCTTGGTCTGTTTTTATGGTTCTCTAGTTATATTTAAGCAAAATCCAAATTCCACTCGATGTTTGCCTTTTTTCGATAACACGATCCCGCTTTAAGCGAATATGAACTGCCAAATCCATGCAGGATACTGCCTGTTCAACTGGAGCTCGAAATCACTTGCAAGGGACAGTTCTATTCTCATCCACCGGCGAAGGCATGCGAATAGAGTATCCTTTAGCAACTAAACTATTTTTTTATTTTTTTTTGATAATTTTTTTTTTGTGCTAGTTGTGCTTCTTTTGAAGGTTTTGCTTAACAGTAACTTTAGGTTTGCAAAATCAAGGATGGGAATGCGTAAGAAGGCAAAGTAAATGGAAAGGAGCAAGGAGAACAACTGTGTTGAAAAATTGTTCTCATGCAGAAAACCTCCCAAATCTTGCTTTTGTTGGGTCTGCTGTATTTTCCAGTACCTTGTACCAATATAGAGTTTAGTGGATACCAGTGTTAGCTGTCATTATAATTAATTTTTTTTCCTTATAAATTGGAAAGTGCCGGTTTCCATTTAGTGCTATTGACAACCTTCAATTTGTAAATTTTCCTTTTCATTTATCCCCTAGTTTTCTTCTGCTAATTATTATTATTTTTAAATGAAGTTTTTTCTTATTAAACTAAAATATATAGTACAATAGAAAATCTTGAATTGGTACAAACACTCTACTATTGTATAGGCACCTCATGTAAAAGTAAAAGATCTTGTGCAAGGCGAGAGTGTACAAACACTAATTTGTAATTAGGCCCCTTAAAGAATAGAGATTAAGAGAACGTTTTTAAATCATGATTCGGAATCATTTTCAGTTTATGTGTTTTTTTTTTTTTTAGAGAAAATACTGTAATGAGTCATGAATTATAATTTAAATTATGACACAAATTTTTATACAACGGTCAGAAGTTGCAACTTCATACTTCCATGAACAAAATGTAAATTTTTTTACATTATAAACGTGTTTAAGTAGCATGACATGTTTCATAGGGGGAAATACAATAAATTGGAATAAAAATTGCAAATGCTTGATGACATTAATTTTTAATTTTTTTTTTTAAATTTGTAAATGCTTCGTCGCTTCAATACGGTATCATCCTTTTAGCTCACAATACATCGTCCTCCTATATTATCTTTTAGTAACAAGTCACATAACCCACACATGTTTAGAACCCTTAAAAAATTAATGTTTTATTGACAGATGTACTCATTACAACTTCTAATAAACTCAAGGGCTAATTTAGAATTGTATGGTAACCCATGTTTTTTCCGGGGCTAAATTTGATACTAACAAAATTATTAAACTATTACTTTTACTGGAGAGTGGAGAACATGCAGTCTAATATGGTACGATTTTATGGTTGCAAATATTACGAAGCACATGTAATTGCTATGACCAGTGCCCTCAAATTAATAAAAGGTTATTGGTACAAATAGTTATTAATCTTTTTAATAAGTGACAATTTATTCTCTATTTTTTTTTTTTTTTTTCACAAAAACGACTTCTAACCTTTTTAAACAGGCACAATCAGATCGTTTCGTTAACATTTGTTAAATTTTTCATAGAAATTTAAACGTGCCCTCACATGACTTTCTAATCCGGGGTATATCGGTAAAAAGCCCTATTAATTAAGTATTCTTTCTTTGTAAACGGCATTTTGCAAAGACTTCAAGCCTTCCCATCAGACCCAGATTTCTCTGCTTCAACGACCATTCTCCAAAAACCAAAAAAAAAAAGAAAAAAAAAAGTTTTGGATTCTGAAATGTATATCGGCAAAAAAAAAAAAGATGAATTTTATTTTCTGCTAAAGAGAGATATTTGGGATTCTCAATGTGGGCGTCTATGTTTGAGAAAGCACTCTTTATCGTAGAATTTGTTGCAAATGTAGGTCAATGTGATTGTGACCTTTCGCAATATATTTTGCTTTCTTTCCTTCTTTCTTTTTTCCTCTCTCAGAACTTTTTTTTTTTTTTTTTTTGCTTTGTGGGGTTGTCGGAAATGGCGGTGGTTAATTTAACTTTGGTGTTTGATTATTGGGCAAACGAGGTTGGAGATTGAAACGTCTTTTAATTTTTTTTGGGTGGTGGGTTGAGTTAAATTTGGTTGCACTGTTTAGATCTCAAGTGATGCGCGGGACGTTGGAGACCATCTGTGGAAGCTGAGGTTTTGGGGGAAGTTTTAGAGAGAGAGACAGAGGCGTTTTGTTGTTGTGGTTGATGAAATATGAATGATGCTAGTCTTATTTGTGTTTGTTCTTTGCTTTGAAGGTTGTATTGTAGAATATTGAGAAAGACAGCTTCTGGTATCGAAGAAATTACTTGATGGCTGTTGTTGCTTTTGTTGTTGTTGTCGTCGTCGTCTTCCATCATCGGCGACGGGAGTCTGACGGAGGTTAGGGAGATTTAGGGTTCAAACATTGTTGGATTTGGAGATGAAATTTAGGGAAAAAAGAAGTCGTCTTTCTAATAGGGATATTTAAGTCATTTTATCAGAAAAAGGTCACGTGACACGTTTTGAAGAATTTAACAACGTTAACGAAAAGGATCAAATTGTATATATTTAAAGAGATTAAGAATTAAATTGTCACTTATTAAAGAGATTGATAATTATTTGTGCTAATAACCCTTAATAAAATTCAGTTTACATAGTGATTGCTCAAGTGATGGATTGGAAACTCAACTGCTCTCTGGACTTCCTGTGGGAACCCAATGACTTCATATAAAGGAAAACCTCTTCCATAAAACTTTTATATGAGGTGTTCAATTCATGAAGTTTTGGATGTTAGACCCAAGTATGCTTAAATTTATGGTTCGTTTAATTCGCTGATTTGAGTTTTTTAATTTGAATTAAGATGTGATTTTATGTAAAAGATTTTTATTATAATAAAAAAGTTAGATGTGACTGTTTCTGAGAATTTTTTACTATAATAAAACTCGAATCGGTAAAATTGAAACGAAACGAAACCTTAATTAGATAACATGCAAAACATTAGATTTGTGAATGATAAACTCAAGCTATTGACTTTCCCATGACTCCAACTAAATTTTGGACTTTCAGTTCAGTAAATTATTGGACGGCAGAATTACCCACATCTCACTCACTCACTCTCAAAATTTTTAGTATTCCTAAAACGATTACATATGAGAGAGAGATAGAGATGTCCTTATTTTACACACATATGACTCGTTTCCTGTGGATCACATAATCACAGACCAATATCAGTTGGTGATGTGCACTCATCATGATCATGTGCATCATTGATAATTTCCGTCCTTTGGGAATTCCGAATTTGTACACAAGAAAAAAAAAAAAGTCAACGTGCCTATTGATGTCCTATAAATAGGAGTCTGGCCCTATTTACCACCTCAGATTTTGTCACGTACGTTTGTCGTCGCATGTTACATCATGGCATAGGGTTGGGAGGATTTTCCTAAGCCTAATTCATTGGTCGATCCTTTGTCTCCTCTGGCTACAAGGGAACGGTCACAACACAACTCACAACTGCATATTGTTTTCTGCCGTCCAGTTCACACTTGCACTTGCATTGACAACTGAGGGAAAAAAAAAAAAAGCAATATATATACGGTCATGACATTAAAGAAAAAAAAAAAGAAAGAAAGCAAGAAAGTCTCAGAAGGGAATAAAAAGTAACGTGAATTATGGAAGTACTTCTGCTTATTCTGATTGAGTGAAAAACACATGATCTTTATTTCGGTGGTAACAGATGATTCCTTCTTTAAACGTTAAACGGGGGTGTAAGGAATCAACTGTCTCCGCTTTTGACTAGTGAAAAAAGTGAAAAACACGTGATTAAAGTCTCGTTTATTTTATCGATTCGAATTTTATTATAGTAAAAAATTTTCAGAATTAGTCATATTTAACTTTTTTACTACAGTATAAAATTTTCACATAAAATCATATTTCAACTCGAATTAAAAATTCGAATCAACGAACTAAACGGGCCCTAAGAGTTTAAGAGCACGAGGAGATATGATCAAGTTTTTGTTGAGGAGACACTACATGTGAAACTGGCCCAACACACTTCAGGAGTCCAACTTAACCTAAAAGGTTAACCTATTTGGTCTTAGGTCATTTCATGTATATAAATCACTTCACATTCTCATCCACTTTCCATGTAGGAGAACACACACGCTTTTCTCAACAATCTCTCTCTCATGTGAGTGTTCACCGAGCTCCCCCTTGAATTAAAGTTTCAAGTAGCCGGCACATCTAAGCATCACACTCCAAACGGGAGCCAACTCAAGCATGGGAAATAACCATACGAGTCCACCAAATGCTCTACCATCCGCGCACCTGCGGGAACACCAACTCTCCACGGGAGGTAACGTGGAAACTGTAACCGAGTGTGATCGCTAAATCCATACGAACTATCGGCTCTGATACCACTTCACCCTTGCAGAAAAGCATGATTGAGTAATGCTATCAAGATACAACGGGAACAAAAAAGAAAAACAGGATCACAATCTAAAAATATAGCAAAATGTGTAAGTGGGTCCTCGAACTGATCAACCCCAGTTACCTCATAATCTTCCAACCATGCAGGTCTTCTTCTAACTCGTTGAATTCGCTGCTCATCGTCTGCATCAATTGCTGGAATGTTTTGAGTGACTGGTGGTTGTTGCTCATTCTCTATGGGATGCTGCCGTCTATCTTCATTTTCTCTATCAAAATTAACTTGTATCTGTTGTTTGGCATTGTTTTCATCCCAAATCCAGAACTTTTCTTCATCAACAAACACGTCGCGACTAATGACAATTTTCTTGGTACCAGGATTGTACAATTTGTATGCTTTTGACTGCTCACTAACACTAAGAAAAGTGCATTTTTCACCTTTGTCATCAAACCCCTGTAATTACTAATTACACTCTTTATCCCAATTTAAAATTGTCATCATGTGTTGGGTTTTTAATATATATCGGGCTTAAATATTCACGTGTTGGGCTTTCTAATTAATTTACCCACAGGATTGTCCATTGTCCAGCCCACATGTGAGGGGGAGTGTTAAAGTATAAAACTATTGTTGGCCCACCTCTTAATAGCTTAAGCTTTTGGGATGGATTGATAAACTAACAATTTTGGTGTAACAAATATAATTTGCTCTCATGAGTCTTTGTAATATAAGCTTAGCCAAATGATAATGTGGTGCTAATTAATAGTAGTGTGGGTAGGTATATACATATTCACTCTCTTTAATTATGGTGACTGAGAATTAGTCAAGATTGGCTACTTGTGTTGGCTTGGCGGACCCCGTTTTAAAAGGAGCTAGCTTTGGTGCTCTTTTTTACGACTTTCTTTTAGGTACATATATACATGCACATAACCACGAATAGTCTTCTGCTTCACTTGGAATTCATTGACTTCTGTCAAGCTGTTTTTAACATTTTCGTTTCCCTTTACATGCACAAACGTACTAACAAGAAACCCACATTTTTTTAAAAAAGTACTCTTTTAAATATTGCATGTTTGTGAACGGTGTTTAACCACCAATGAACTAGAAACTTCAACGTCTTTATAACATGCAAAGTCTCGCTCTGATCACCAGCCACATGCTTGGTTTGCTTACCTATATGGCAGCCTTTTTTTTTTTTTTTTTTTTTTTTTTTTGTTTCTTACTTTACTCTTTATGGCTTTGCAATGTGAATTCTCACTTTCACAATTATATATATATATATATATATATATTACTCTAAAAAGAAAACATATATATGTGGTTGTAATAATTAACTACTACTCATATATAATAGTGTAATATAATCTAATACTTGCACTTACATATAAATGGTCCTCTCCCGTCCGAGCATACACAACTAACAAGACATATATTTAACATAACACCGATGTTGGAAAATATAACACGAAAAAAGTTAAGCTATATCTCAGACTATTATTATTACTTTTTTTTTAATATGTGGTATGTTGATTAAATATCATATTACACTTCTCCTACTTCTTACTTTTATATGTTATGGGACGACCTAAAAAAACTCTCTATATGTTATTATATGTGTGTGTTTATATGTATAATACTTGTTCTCTATCAGGTCCACGAGATAGAAAGCCTCTTTCATTGAAAATTCCATAAGAGAACAAGAAACTAAAGGGGATGATATGATTGGCAGAGCCCCCGTCCTTTTGCTCGGCAAAGAAATTAAAGTGGAGCAATTTTGTGCCGATAAGCTTTCAATCAATGATTAATTTATATTGAAAGTAATATTCAATCCAATGGACAAAAAACTATAACAAAATTCATGATCAATAGTTTATCACGATGTCGGCTTCTTTATTTTTTTTTTCTAGAAAAAAATAATAATTGAAAAAGGCTCAATCATGCAGTTCTCTTGTCTGCGTATAATTGTGTGCGTTATGAGAGGACGTGCAATATGTTAGAACCACACCACACATAGTAGATGATGTACGTTCACCACTTTATACATATAAATATAATTTTTGAGTGCTATGTTTGTCTGTCGGGTTTGCAGTTTCTGCTACAACAAGACTCATTTATATGATCCTGCAATACGTAGAGAATTGTGGAGCCACGTGAGTTTAATCTATGTAATTTATTTTCATTTTTTAATGTGCTTCTTTAATTAAGTTTTCCAAAAATTTCTAATTTCTTTGTTGTTTTCTTTTCGTAAATGATAGGATATAAGTGAAGTTTAACTATAAATGAGATTTTGAGCGCTTTGCTTATTAATGTGGCGTATTAATTAAACATTTATAAATCATTATCTCCACTCTTTAACCAACAATACGGGACAAATATTGAAATTGACTAAATATTTAATAAATTTTTTTTAAAAAAGAGGGTGGCTTTTACGTGTAAACTTTGAAGTGTAAAAGAGTAAAGTAACCTAAATTAGGGGTGCGGATTGCATGGGTGACATATAATCCTATTTCTGATCAAAAGAAGAAAAAAAAAAAAACAGAATCAAAAAAGGAGAAAAATATGTGTTCATTTTCACCATACTATCTTTTTTTTACCTAAAAACCGCAAAGATTCTTTCAAATTTTCAGTTCCCAATCTTTCAAGAAATTCACGTTTTGTCCTATTATTGACATGACTTTTACGGGAGCTTGGTTTTAGTCGACCCGAACAGAACCAATCTTGGTGCATTTAGTTAATGGATTCGTGTTATGATTTAAATTATAGTTCATAATTTATTACAGTATTTTTTCTCATAAAAAATACACGTAAATTAAAAATAATTATGAATCATGATTCTAAATTCATAAATTAAACGTCTACAAACCCTTTCCAATCACACTGTCGATGGTAAAACTCAAAGCAGGAAAAAAAAAAGAAAAAGAAAAGGATGCAAAGATAAAAATAAAGAACTAAAAAAAGGAAGAAATTCTTTTGATAAGTGCTGAAAAAATAATTACCCAAAAAGTATAATTTTTAGCGTTAGCTTTATATAAAAAATTATATATTCTAATATTATTTTGATCAAGTCCAACATCAAACATTGCATCTACTATTAAAGAGGTTGTATCAGAAAAATATCTGAAAAAGAAAAAAAAACATAAACCGATATTATGTTTATTTATTTATTTTTTTTTAAAGAAATGATTCTTATGTTTGACGTTGATACATTAATTATTTTAAGCCGCCCCCCTGAAATAATAAACAAATTTAAACAGCTTTCACCATCTTTTATTTAGTGGTCCATTAGAAATGCAAATTCCATTAATTGGTCACAACATCACATTGAACCAGAAGGACAAAAATGCCCATCCACTCAAATCGTTATTGCGTAGAGGGAAAGTCAATTCCTAACGGTATCTATCCACCGACCACCGACCTACCCTTTGCCACCTCTTAGAAATTAAAAACCGAAAAAAACAAAAATTCCAAAAAATAAAGATAAAAATTTAAAATAAAATAAAACTTATATTTTGCTTACCGTGAAAATTCACATTTCTTTTTTCTCAACCTTTGAATTCCACCTTACCTGCCCACATAAGACACCACCCAACCCAACCAGCGCCCCTTTTATTATTATTCCGCAAAATATATTTATTTGGATTTATGTAAAACATAAAATAATAATATTTATTTGGATTTATATTCATAGTTTGCAAAGAGTAAAAAATAATAATAATTATAATAAGGAGCATCTAATGTTTTACAACCTGTGTTCCTCGGACGGGCTCTTCAATAATAACCATTACGAATAAGGTAAGGAAAGGAAAGGGGCAAAAAAAGAAAGATACAAAAAAAAAAAAAAATCGGTGAAATATATTTTGTGTCGGTGAATTTGGATTTTCTGATTATTTATTTGTGTATGTATTTATTTATTTTAAGTTGAAAGAAATTTATCAACGTGGAAGCTTACCCAGATGACAAGCATAGTGGCCAAGTAGCATGAGAGGAGGCCGTCTCTTCTGTTCTTCTCTCTTTTTTCTCTCCTCTGTTTTTCCCTCAAAAAACCAGAAACAAAAAGCCTTCGATTTTGCACTTCCATGAAAATTCACTCCTTACCCACGATTTCTTAACTCCAAAAACCATCTGGGTCGGTTTCAGAATCCCAAAAAAAAACGAGAAACAGAGAGATATGGAGGAAGAAGGAGCGGCGAGAGAGACGGCGGCGAGGCAGAGAGGCGGAGAGAGCGAGAAGCAGTACAAGGGGATAAGGATGAGGAAGTGGGGGAAATGGGTTGCCGAGATTCGGGAGCCGAATAAGCGGTCAAGAATTTGGCTCGGCTCCTACTCGACTCCCGTCGCGGCAGCTCGAGCCTACGACACCGCTGTTTTCTACCTAAGGGGCCCGTCGGCGCGGCTCAATTTCCCGGAGCTTTTGGTCGGCGAGAACGGCGGCGGCGGCTGCGGATGCGGCGATATGTCGGCGGCTTCGATTCGGAAGAAGGCGACGGAGGTCGGCGCCAGAGTCGACGCGCTCGAGACGGCTCTGCGCCACCACCACCAACACCACCGCCATCATCACCATCACCATCACCATCGGCTAGACGGCGGCGGAGACGCCGAGATGAAGCCGTGCGGCGGGTTCGTGAACCGGGTCGACTTGAACAAGCTGCCCGACCCGGAGAATTCCGACGGCGAGTGCGACTGGGACAGGAATTCGGATTAGCCTGAAACGACGGCGTTTCGGTTAGGGCTGGGTTGGGTTGGTTTTGCTGACGTGCGCGGCCGCCGAGATGTGTTTTGACGGCTGAAGTAAAATGATGACGCCTTTCTTTTTTTCGTTTCTTCTTTTCTCCACTACCCTTTTCTTCATTAATTGAACTTTAGTTTTTCCTTTTTTTTTTTTTCTGCATCCTTTGCTTTTGCTTTCATTTTTTTTTTTTTAGTTTTGTATTTCGACCAAGAAATTTTGGCCTTTGTAAAAAATGATAAATGTATATTAGTTAGCTCTTAGTGTATTTATTTATGTTTTTTTTAATGTAATCATAATCATAATCTCTTTTCATAATTCCAGTTTTTATGGTATGTCTTGCTATGTCTCAGTCTGAGTCTCCTATGGAGTGATTGATAAAACAGGGGCTTGAAAAAAATACTTGACATGGAATTGGGTTTTGGGAGCCAATAGTAGCTTTGAAAATGAACTCCTGAGAGCAAATAGAAAGTGGGGGGAATTGTTATGAGTGTGAAGTCAATAGTAGCTTTGAAAATGAACTCCTGAGAGCAAATAGAAAGTGGGGGGGTTTGTTATGAGTGTGAAGTAGAGAGAGAGAGAGAGAGAGAGAGAGGGAGAGAGAGAGAGAGAGAGGAGGAACAGAAAGGGCCTACAAGACAGCATTTGGGTGCAAAGCGCCAGGCTAACCACTAAAGTTATAACTACTAAAGGGATAAGATTTTGAGAGTTAGGTATTTTCTGGTTCTCAACACTGTATGCTGATTGTGAATTTTGTGCTGTCGTGGGGGCAAATGAGCCAAGAGAGGATTGCAGGGGTGGGGCACCATCATAATGATGGTCACAACTTGATTGGGGCTTTTGTCTCTGCCCTTGGGATGGGATTCAATTTGGTGCAGTTTGGTCAAAATGACAAATCCACCCATCCCAAGTCTTCTCTCGACTCTCTAGTCTCTACAATAAGGACCATTTTGGTGGAGATGCTTATAGTTCAAAGCCTCATATCACAGATTTTGATTCTGCTTTGAGCTGTAATCCATGTATTTTTAGTTAACAACTCCCACGCCACTTTTCCAGCATATAGGGACAAGGATTTGTCCTCAATTACCGGAATATTTCATGCTTTTCTATGTTTTTAACTTTTTGAGTTTTTATATTTGGGAACAGCTTCTCAAATCTCAATGATGTAGATGTTCCAGGACAAGGAATATATATAAATATATGGATATATACTTCTCTAGCAATTTTCTTCTTCCTAGTTCATGACTAGCCTATTCTATTGTTGTCCCGATTGTGTCTATAGCCTATAGTACGACAGACAATGAAAAGAAAACACACTACCGTGATTCCCCCACAAGTCTTTATCTAGTTGTAGTTTCACATGCTAACCTCAAAGTAAAATGCATAATCAAAGCTTATTTCTTCCGATTGGATAATCATTTTATATGGACACACAACAGGAACACATAAGGGCACATTTATGGAGGCTATTGTTTAATAATTTAAGCACCCTCATTCATGTACGTAGTCAACTTGATCTACTATTTCAGCCATTTTGTCAACCGTCTTGTTCAACAACCGGTACTCCTCTCGTTGGGCAATTCCAGTGACTTCTTCAGTTCAACCACTTCCTATACTAATCATACTAGCATAATTCATAATTCTGTTGCATTATCGAAACTTATGTAGATTGTCCATCAATCTTGATCTTCTATTTTAACGCACCCACGTAGAGTTTCGAACAAAGATGTCAACATTGGAGATTGGTTTCGTTGCTGTTTAGACTATGCTTGCGACCACTAAACATGTCGATTCCATTTCGAGCCTACCAAACGCCTATTGAATCTAAATTCCAAAACACGTGGAACCCTTTAATTGTACCATAAAATTCACATGAGTCGCACGTTTATAAACAGTTCACATTCACACAAAAGTGGCAAGTGGTTTGTTGATAGGCTAGCAATCTAACAATGCGTCACTGGTTAGATAATAGATAGGAAGTAGCATGAACAATATAATAATAATTACGACAGAGCCACACGACAATTCAAGTTTTTCATTCCTTTTTCTTTTTTTTTTTTGTTTTTTTGTTTTTTTGTTTTTTCCCACTCTTTCATCGGGTGGTGGGGGAGGGTGATTGGCAAAAGCATGGGTCCATTACACTTTCAGTCCTGATAAAATAGTCGTATAATTGATAATGACAAAAATGTTGCTGAATTTTTATACAGGCATAGGCCAAAATTGTACATATGCCAAAAGAAGCCAACCTCTTCTTCAATGAAACTTGAACAGCTTATGGAAGTGAAGAGATCTGTACGAGCCAAATTGAAGTGGCATCCTATAACTCTGGCAGCCTCCATGTCTTATGTTTTCTTTTCATTAGTGTGTTTCATTTTAAGGGCAGCTCTTACGACGTTTCCTCTTGTGATAATTCCAACCTTGGCAAAAGAAACAAATCCGTCATCAGAGACCAACCTAGAAATTGAAAACATGAAAGAAAATTGAAAATTAGATAGAGAGACTATTTTACCAGCTTTCCCTCTGCATCTACAACTGGAAGTCGGCGATATTTCGTCTCGAGTAATAATCTGATGTGTGGGGAAAAAAAGTTATTTTCCTTGAGCATTGATAAATAGAAGAAAACTGAGAGGAATATGTATCAAGAGAACAAAACCTAGCAGCATCCTCGAGATTAGTGGTCTCGCGAACAACAACTGGAGCTGGTGTCATCAAATCACCGACCACCTTGCCGTTGGTTTTACTTAGTAACTTCTGTACCTCGTTAAAAGTCTGCATTAATATTTGCCATAGAAGCAGTTTATGAGTCGATTTATAAAGCTGCTCATTTAACCAGTCATTAATCTGAAATGTAATAAAACAAAGAATACCCTGCCTCTCTGCAGGATATACATTATGAGAAGAACAACCCTCCTTCAATATCCATTAGATTGAAATTTAAACTGAAAACCCACAAAAAGTTTTGAAAGCAAATTGACTAGGGGCAATCATGTTATTCAACTTTAAGAAACATCTTCTCACATACTTTCCATGTGCTGTCTACTTCAGGAAACAAGCTAGTGTCAGGTCGTCCACCACCTACTTGCAATAAAAGGAATTTTATGTAAGAGATGACTTGTGCACATGACAACTTTCTAGCCTTAATGAATTTTGAGTTGCATAACACTCCAAACCCGAAAACAAAAATAGCTTCTCTGAAGAAATAGAATAAAATGAATAGCAGCCATAAGCGAAAAAAGACCCAGAAGATTTGTAAAACAAGTCAAGAATAAAAAGGTAAGATTCCAGCAAGCAAAAAGAATACTAGGCTCAGCTACAGCAAGCTGAGTTATGGTTTGTGAACTCAATTACCGAAGATGGAATCCAGGGCTAACAAGTCATAATCTGAAACAAGACCAACCTGCAGCAAACAGCTTTAAAAGTTATCTCCACATATTAGTCAATTAGTAAAGAGCATTTTTCCAAAAACAAGTGTACTCTATTTAAGAAACAAAACTTGACTTTGCTAACGTGATGTCAAAACTCTAAGTGAATTGTAGGCACAAACTTGTTGATTCAGAAATATTGGTAAGTTAAAAAAAATTTTAGTGTATGTTTGGTATATGGGTTCTACTACAGTGCAAACCATGGTATTAGTTCTGCTATGGTGTTTTTCTCTTACAAAAAATTTGAATTTCAAAAGTCATAATGAAGAACCCTAGTTTGAACCCATATGCCAAATGAGCCCCAAGTATTCTAATAAACGAAAGAAGCTATTCCTAAAAGATCAAATGAACAAGCATACATGATTTAGTTAACTTCAAGGTCAGCAGCATAATCTGAGCTATTTGCCGCTCAAAAAGTGTTCAAACAATTCATATGAAGTCCAGAGACACCAATTACGCGACGAGGAAAGTTCGATGTAGAGAAATTGAAGGAAAAATGAGAACTCCAGTAGTTTTTTGGCCATATGGTGGAAAGAGAGAAATAATCATATTGGTGGCTTAGAAACCTATAATGCTAAGTTTTTCTAAAGCTCCAAGATCAAACTTTTCCAAGGAAAACTTGGTTAACTTAAGTCTTAAGATTCAATGCTCAATGTGGCAGTATAAATACCACAATCTTCCATTAAATTAACATCATCCTTTGGATCAAGGATTGATTTTTTTTCCCGGTTTTCCTTTTTGATGCATGAGTAGCGAAATAAAAGGACTTATAAGAAGGGTGAGTTACCAATTTCCAATCATCATCAATCACAGGGAAACCGGTTATTCTGTTCTCCACAAGGGTTTCGAGAGCTGTTTCAACAAGGACAGACATCAATAAGTTGGAAAAAGAAAAAAGAAACAAAAACGTAAAATCGCAAGATGCAAGATGGTCTACTACAAATCAAAGCAAGAAAAACACCTTCATCTACAGTAGTTGTAGGCTTCACCACATGCAAATGCTCTTTTTTTGTCATAAAATCGCCCACTGTATATAATCCACTTTTTGCCTTCACATCACAAGGAATAAAAAAAAAAAAAAAAAAAAAAAAATGCAAAAGACCCTCACAACACAAAGAAAAAAAAAAAAAAAAAAAAAAAAAAAATCAGATGCAAAAGAAGGTATAGTCTAAATCACCAATCCCCACCAACAAGTTCATCTAAAGTAATGCTTCCATTTTTGAGCCAAAAAAAAAAAGAGTAATGCTTCCATTCTATATAATCAGTTCGGAAATGAAGAATTTTGAGCTATAGTATCACCAAAAATCTCAAATGAACTCCAGAAATTCTCCTCAGAAAAAGAATTCTCAACTGAAACATTTCAAAGAGCCTACTCTGACACATGCACCAATCCATAAACCCTAATTGTAAATCGCAAATCCTTCAAATCTCGAAATTGAAAGAAAATTCCAAACAAATACAACAAACAAGAGGAATTAAAGTTCTAACGGCCATGAAAACATATAAACAGTTCCCAAAATGAAATTTCACAAGCAATTATTCGGTGTAAAAACGACAAATTTAGGAAGCAAATACCGGCACGGAATTCGCCGTCAAGGTTCCATTGGCGGCGATAACAGATGACCTCCGGAGCCCCAAAACCCCATCGGAGGACCGAAACGCAGCGTTCGACTTCGACACGAGTCGCCGGCCGGGACACGACAGCAAAAGGCACGGCATCTGAGAGGCGAAACCAGATGGACCCGAACCCGAACTCACCGCGGCATGATGGCCGGCGGCCATGGCTATAGACTCCGCAACGAAACTGGAGGCCATGGTTCGGCTTTTCCGGTGGATATATTCCCCTTTTCAAGTCGACGACTCGCCGGAAAACCAAGCTCGGAGAAGCCGAAAGAGCAGAGAGAGAGAGAGACTAGAAAGAAGAAAATATACCTTCTTCTTCTTTTTTTCTTTTTTTTGGGGATATTTTTGGGGGCTTGAGATATTAATGATTGGTTTGGCGCAGGCAAATTAACCGACTTGGCAACTTGAGAGAGAGCTCAGATTGCGACACGCGCTTTATTTAAAAGAAATATATGTTATTGCATTAATATGTGTAATAAATAAATTAAAGAAAATTAAATCTAGGATTAGTCTAAATTAAACATTGCAGGTTGAACGCCACGTGGCAATCTCTGGTTTCGGTGATGTGATCAGGTATGGGGCCCACGAAAGTCGACGGTTGATATTGCGTGGTTGGATTTGGCTAGGGTTTGGTGAGAGGAATATCCAACATATATAAATGTCGCCTTGTTCAGACAAAGTCGGTTGCGGTGCCGCCACCCTTCTTCGCTGGTTGCTGCCGTCGCTTTCGTCTGTTGTTTTCCGGCGAGAATTAATCCGACTAAATCGGTAAAGAATAAAGGAGAGAAAATCACCAGAAAAAAGTTTCCAACTTTTCTAGAGGAAGAACCGACAGGATTTTCCTTTTTTTTTTTTGGAAAAAAAAGTTTTGTTTTCTGAAATGGCGCAGCTTCAGGTGGAGGTTCCAGCTCAGAATGGTGTGGCCAATGTCGGAAATGGCGTCGGCGGTGGCCCGTCGGCGACGACGTCGTTGTACGTCGGCGATCTCGAAGGCAGTGTCAACGAGACGCAGCTCTACGACTTGTTCAGTCAGGTCGGCCAGGTCGTCTCGGTTAGGGTTTGCAGGGATTTGAGCTCTCGGAGGTCGCTTGGCTATGGCTATGTCAATTTCAGCAATCCTCAAGAAGGTTTAGTTTTTGTCGCATTTTTCGCTTGCGCATTTCTCTTTTTGATTTTAGCTCCGCGATACTTAAGTTTGTTATGAAACGAAAGTCATTGATTTTTTTTTTTTTTTGTTTTGTTTCTCATTTGCACAATGTCGATTTTGATTATATATAGCTTCGCGTGCTTTGGATGTTATGAACTTCGCTTCTGTCAATGGCAAGCCAATTAGGATTATGTACTCTAATCGCGACCCCACCACTCGTAAAAGTGGGAGTGGGAATATATTTGTTAAGGTATGTTTATATGCATTAAACTAGGAACAGTATTATTGTCTACTGATGTTTGATGTATTTACATTTGATGGGTCTTTTATATTGTTGATTTGAGTTGTACGTTTTGCTGTATCTGAAATTGGTGGGTCTTTTACAATGTGGTTGTTAATGCAAATTTTTTCTTGGGGGCAGAACTTGGATAAAGGAATTGATAACAAAGCTCTCCATGATACGTTTTCATCATTTGGAAACATACTATCTTGCAAGATAGCTACTGATCATTTGGGTCAGTCGAAAGGATATGGTTTTGTACAGTTTGACAGTGAGGAGTCTGCTAAGGCTGCCATTGAGAATCTGAATGGCATGCTGCTCAATGACAAACAAGTGTATGTTGGGCCCTTTGTCCGTAAGGAGGAAAGAGATAATGCCACGGAAAAGGCAAAGTTCAACAACGTTTACGTGAAGAACTTGGCTGAATCAACAACTGAAGATGACCTGAAGAAGATTTTCGGCGAATATGGGAGTATTACTAGTGTTGTAGTTGTGAGGGATGGAGAAGGAAACTCCAAAGGTTTTGGATTTGTTAACTTTGAGTTGACGGATGATGCAGCTCATGCTGTTGAGGCTCTTAACGGAAAGAAGTTTGATGACAAGGAGTGGTATGTCGGGAAAGCCCAGAAAAAAGCTGAAAGAGAGATGGAGTTGAAAGGGAAGTTTGAACAATCTGTCAAGGAGACGGTGGATAAATATGAAGGGCTCAATCTATATGTTAAAAATCTAGATGATAGCGTGACTGATGAAAAGCTGAGGGAGTTATTTTCTGATTTTGGTACAATTACTTCATGCAAGGTGTGTGGCGTTGTTATTTGCTATTAAATTTCATTTATTTATAGAAGCACGAGGCTTCCTTTATGCTTTTCACTAATCTTCTTCGTTCCTCTTTGGATTATAGGTTATGCGTGACCCTAATGGTATAAGTAGAGGATCGGGATTTGTCGCTTTCTCCACTGCTGAAGAGGCATCCCGAGCTGTGAGTAATGTCCTTATGAGTAGAATTCTTTTCCGCAATGGTTTTTATTTATCCATGTTTTGATGATTATCTTGCTATTGTGGTACCAATTAACGGGTGCTGGACCTCTCTGAAATGTGCAGCTCTCGGAAATGAATGGTAAAATGGTTGTTAGCAAACCGCTCTATGTTGCACTTGCACAACGTAAAGAGGACAGAAGAGCAAGATTGCAGGTATTTACAAATTTAAGGGCCAGATTGATAATGCTGTAGATTTTGAAAAAATTGCTTTTAACTGTGCTGAAAAAAAAAGCAGCTGAGTGTTTGGTAACTGTAATTATACAAGTGTTACTGGTTCTAAAAGCAGTGTAATAACGTTTGGTAAATTATGAGGTTGAATTGATGTGGGTAGTTAAGATGACCGTAATTAATAATCTTAAATTAATATATAAAGTAATTAATAATTGATAATTATTTAGCAAGTAAAAATTAATATATTAATAATATAATAATAATGGATAAATCATCATTAATGAGTGCATTAGTAATTAAACTATATATATAATAAATTAATATGTTAAATAATTAAAAATTGTAATTAGTAATTAATTATAAATAATTACTATGTTAGTAATGTCCTCATATTTATTAGATTATAAATAATTAATTAGTGTATTAAGAAAAATAATTAGTATATACATAATTTATTAATATTCCTTTTACTACTTAAATTATTAACTTTTA